AATTATGATTTTTTAGAACATAAATCTTAAAATTCTAAATCCTAAAAAATCTTTTGACTCCTAAAACCTTCAAAACTAAACTCTAATACAACATAGTTAACCCAAACATAAATGATATAATGAATAAATAATTTTGAAAAAGTGACATTTTTTGTAAAGATTGTAAAAATATGGCAGTTTTGTAAATTTTTGTAAAGTAGCATTTCAAAAGTGGGATTTTTAAAAAAATTTCTCGTTATAAGGTGTGATTATGTAAATCATGTGTAAATCATGTGTGATTTCACACCAAAACAAATCTGCCTTAACAAAATCTAACCGTCCGTTTCGCGAAACAATGACCTAGCTAAAACAACGGTCCAGATTTCGCATAGATTCCTTGTGAAGAATATTTTAAAGAATCCAACAAGATTCCGCATTCCACTCCGCTTTCGTGATCATCATCATCATCTAAAGTTTGCTTCTTTTCCGCAGATCTTTTCACCTTCCTAGATTCTCTATCAATGGTGTCGCGAATCAAGCTTCTTCCTCTCGCTATTTCTCTTCTTCTCGTTGTTTCAACGATTGTTCAAGCCACCATCGATGTCCATTACTGTGGTACCTTTAAACCCTCGAACAAAAAAAAAATCATCACTTTGGGTTCTTCGTTATTGATACAATTCGATTCGATTTTGACTCATAGTTGTGAAAAGTTCGATTTTTTAATTCTGGGTATTGTTAATTTTCTCTTCCTTTATCTCGATTGTGTCTGATTTTGGTGATAAAATTTTTGGTTTTTGTAGAGGAGAACACAGAGTATGAAGTAAAAGTGAAAGAAGTTGATATATCTCCTGATCCTATAGCTCGTGGCGAGCCAGCTACTTTCACCATCTCTGCAAACACAGGTTACTACTTCACTTTACCTTTAATTGTGTGATCTTGAGACTTGTGTATGTAGTTGATGATCTAGTGTTTTGTTCTGGTAGAATCACAATGTGATTGTTCACTGACTAATGTAGTAATGTGTATTGCTTGTTAGTATATTCTCAAAGAGTCTGAACAATCTGTTTTTCGATATGATGGTTTTTGTTTCGGTTTTGGTAAAGGTCGTGGGATTTCGAGTGGGAAGTTGGTGATTGAAGTTTCATACTTTGGATGGCATGTTCACTCTGAGACACATGATCTTTGCACTGAGACAACTTGTCCGGTTGAAACCGGAGATTTCTTGGTTGCTCACTCTCAAGTTCTTCCTGGTTATACTCCTTCTGTAAGTTTGATTCGCTCTTGTATCGTGCTTTTGCTGTTCGAATCGAAGAACTTGTTGTTGCAATCATAATGGATAGCTTATTCAGAAAATATATATAGCAAACGCTTAAGCTTGGTGTAGAGAAACACATGGAGACATACAATGAACTCAGTTTGAATGTTGTGTATTACTGTCGAAAATGTGGCTTTCAAGGTCCAAAAACCGGAAGATTGATGACAGATTCTACTCTTTATCTATGTTCCAGGGTTCGTACGCGCTGAAAATGAAGATGCTTGATGCGCAGAACAAGGAGTTAACGTGCATTAAATTCTCGTTCTACGTTGGATCCGGACCATCTGTGGCTGACATTTAGAGCAAATTTACCCGTGAATACTGTCGATAACTTGCCATTGTACAAATAGTTTCAAAACATGTTTTTTCTAGCTTTTTTTTAGGTCTTTTATAGCAATTTGTTAGACCTGGATTTGATGATCTTCATCAAAGCTATATAAACTATATGTTTTAGTGTTTACTGCTTCAATCAACAACATATCTCCAGGTCTCATGACTTTAGTCTAATACTTGGAAAGGTATAATATAATGGGATTGACGACTTCTTAACCTTCTTCATTAATTAAATTGAACCATAAATGTAATGCGAGAAGTAATCAGAGTATGTACTAAGTAAATGATTTGACTAATTCGAATTTGCTAGCTAAAGCTGAGCTACTTTACCAATCTTACATCATTGCACGTTTCTATGGAATTGTAAAAGACAAGACAGGCATTATCATTCTAACCGGACTAAAAAGAAACAACAAAACTTCTAAAATCAATCGATTACTCTTACCCAACAGAAAGAAAGAATTATATTTTCTTAAAGATCCATTATATGATCTTCCTCCTTTTGTTTCGCTTTATTAATCCTCTGGCAAATTGGGATTTGATTGAGTAAAATCATTACTCATGAGTCTCTTTTATCTGTGATTGTGGTGTGAGTTTTATCATCTAACATTATTGTACCAATGACCCATCAAAACAAAAAAAAAAACGATCTTTTTTTTCTTTCTTTTGTTGTGAATAAAACCCATCAAAAAAGACTTTTGAAAGCTAACCCAGAAAGTAGCTTTTGAAACTTTTTTCTTTTCATCTAAATTAGATCTTATCTTCTGGTTTGATCTTGATCGAAATTCTTCTCTCTTACCCTCTTTTTCAGATTCTTGAATTTGGTTTTTTTTTTTTTGGTTTCTCGAGGAAAGATCCAATTTTTTTTGTTTAGCAATGAAAGGAATGAAGGAAAGATTGGCAAAGAAAATCAAACTCATCACCATTGTTGCAACCTTGAAGCAAGGCTTAGTTATTCATAAGAGTAACATTGATCGCACAATCCATCATCTAAGAGACGAAATAGTCCTCGAATCTGGTCAAATCAAAGGATGTGTTACACCAACACTACTAGAGATTGAAGATGTCGAAGAACAAGAACACAATCTTGAAGAAGAAAAAGGGATTTTTTTGGAGTTTGAAGAGATTTGTCCACCTGGAGGAGAAGATTCAGTCGTGTTCTACACTACGGGTTTGCGAGGAGTGAGGAAAACGTTTGAAGCATGTAGAAGAGTAAGGTTCTTGTTGGAGAATCATAGAGTGATGTATAGAGAGAGAGATGTTTCAATGGATTCAGAGTTTAGAGAAGAGATGTGGAGTTTGCTTGGAAGAAAAGTTACGTCTCCGAGGCTGTTCATTAGAGGTAGGTACATTGGAGGAGCAGAAGAAGTTGTGGCATTAAACGAAAACGGAAAGCTAAAGAAACTTCTAGAAGGGATCTCACTAGTTCATTCACCTTGTGAATGTTGCGAAAACGAACGGTTTTTGATTTGTTCTAATTGCCATGGAAGCTCAAGGTTGATTATTGAAGATCATCATGATGAAGAGATGTGGACGAGATGCAGAGAATGTAATGAGAATGGGCTTGTGAAATGTCCTCTTTGTAGTTGAAAAGTTATAATAACTATTGAGTTTTAATCAACTTTGTAATAAATGTGTGAAAA